GAAAGCAAACAAGTTAATGTTTTTAAATATTTCAGTTCTGAGGCAAACTTATTTTTCACTTTTAGCAGTTAATTTGATGTGGCTATTTCTTCATTCATTCATCTGCCCAATTCATTTACTCAATAAATATTTATTGAGCATCTACTATGTGCCAGGCACTGATGTAGGTTCTACAATAACATTGTCAGCGAGTACAATCACCATGAGATTTCCAGTATGCTGATTAGATAGTGACTAAAGGGCTACTTTCAATTGGGCAGATCTGAGAAGGTTATTCTGAGATGTAACATTTAAGATAAAACCTGGGTAATAAAAAGCCAACCTTGGAAGATAGGGGAGAAAATCCAGGCAGAAAAAACAGCTAGTGCAAAGGCTAAGTCAGAAACACACTTGACTTGTTCCAGAAATGAAAAGAAGGCTGTAATCTTTGACGAGTTAGGAAGCAGGTAGAGACTAGTGTGCAGGGCTTTGCAGGCTGAGTGAAGAGCTCGGTTTCATTCTAATTGCAGCAGAAGCTACTGAAGGATTTTAAGCAGGGCAGTGACATGATCTGATTTACAGTTTAAAGTGTGCCATAGTGAGTGTCTGCAGCCATCCAGCCGAAGGAGGCTGAGAAAGCAGGCAATTGTAGTGCTGGGTCTCTTTTTCCATCACGCCCATGGACCTTACGTGGCCTTCAATCACATGTGGCAATCACACATATCCCTAGTCTATTAACTCTGCTTCTCTCCTAGACAAACGCTCCAGATCACTTTCTCTCCGGAAACTTCCTCACATCCTCATTCCTCACCGATGGCCTTGCTTCTGACTTCACTGAGAAAATGGACATAATCAGGTGGAAACTTCCACCTTCCACATACACGACCATTCCTCCAGGGCCTATGTAGGAATGCAGTCCTTCCTATGAGAGGCCCCTTCACCCCCTCTCTCCTCTCTCCCTTCTCTGGCACATTCTCCAGCAATTGTCCCGGCTCACTGCTGCATCACCTGCATCTTTATCTACTCCTCATCAGCACGGAAACCTGCTGTGATTCTTTCTCCATCTTTTTTTTTTTTTTTTTTTTTAAAGATCTTTTGGTGCCATTTTCTCTCCAGCTTTTGCCCTATTTCTTGGGTACTATTTATAGCCAAGTTTTTCTAATGCATCGTCTGTATTCACTGTCATCACTTGTGCTTCTGCTCTTCCCACTCTCAAGAACCTGCTCCAATGAGACTTGTTATGGCCATCCCGCTCCTGAAATTACTTTTTAATGTTCCAGTTACCTCCATGTTGGTTAACTCTGTGGTCAATTCTCACTCCTTATCTTAGACTATCCCCAGCATTTGACTGGAGATAGTGCGTTTGCCTGGGGATAGTCCTCCTTCCTGAAATGGTTGCCTCACAGCCTTCTGGGACCCGTCCCCTGTTGTCTCTTACCTATGGGTCTCTCTTCCTCTGCTTCCTCTCTTAAAGTTGGTGTGCCCTGGGGCTTAATCCCCTGACCGCTTCTCTATCACCCTCACCGGCTAGTTGATCTCAGTCAATGACAGTTTGTATCTCATTAATATGCCAGGGTCTGAAATTTATGTTTCTAGCTATCTCTCCAGAATTCAAGGCTTGTTTATTCAACTGCTTACTCTACATGTCTTTCCAAATGTCTAACAGATACCTAATACCTCGCATGTCCTAAATTGAACCTGTGATATCCTCAAACCTATTCTACTCACAGCCTTACCCACCTCAGTGGATGTCAACGTTATCCTACTACTTGCTCTGGCCACAAACTTAGGAGTCTTTCCTGACTCTTTCTCTTATACTCCATGTTCAGTCCACCAGGAAGTTGTGTTGGCTCTTATTTCAAAATATATCCAGAGCCTGAACACCTTCCCAGCTGCCCTGGTCTGAGTCACCATGATCTCCATCCTGAATTACTGCAATACCCACTTATTGGTTCTCATTTCTGCCTTTGTCCCCTCCCATCAGTTCTCTACACAGTGGCCAGAATGACCCCTTAAAATGCAACCAAGGTATTCTTTTTCTCCAATCCTCCAGTGGCTCTCCAGCAAGAGCAGAAGCCTTCCAATGCCCTTCTAGCCCTGCACAGCCTGCTAATCTGCCCTTCTCCTCTCACAGCCACAGAGGCCAAAGGCTGCATCCCAGACACATCAGGCATGCTCAAGGCTCTGGATCTTGGCACCTGTTTCCTCTGCCTCAAATTATCTTCCCCTAGATATCCACCTGTCTTGCTGCTTCACCTCCATCAGACTTTTCCTGTCCCTCTATTTCAAATACCAGTTGTGTATCCAACTCTGCACCCACTTTCCAATCCTTCAGTTTTAACCAAAGCAGAAACACTATATTTTACTTGGTCTACTGTCTATCTCTTCCTGCTATATTTAAATTCCATGAAGCCAGGGAATTTTGTATATTTTGTTCACTGTTGTTTCCCAACACTCGGAACAATTCCTTGGCATATAATCAAAGCTCAGCATTGAATACGTGAAAAAATATGAACGAAATGGATCTAGGAGTAAGGCAATGAAGCAGTCAAGATGACACTGCAAGTTTTAACTTGAGAAACTGGACAGGTGGTGAGATGGGGAAGCCCAAGAGATGACTAGGTTTCAGGGCTCCGGAGAGAATAGAGCTCGGATTTGGAGATATTAATTGTGAGATGTCCATTAGACATCAAATAGAAACATTAGTAGTAGGCACTTGGATATATAAGTCTGAAATTTGGAGACTCTAGGGGTTAGAGTCAAATGTGAGTGGCCATCAGCTAAGTGGTATTTAAGTCATGAAGCCAGATAAGCTTATCTGGTCAGAGAACAGAGAGAGAAGGGACTAGGCCCAGTTTTGTGCCAACCTTAGAGACCGAGCAAAGAAGAGAGTGTTAAGAGAGACTGAAAAGAAGCCAGCAGTGAGGCTGGAGGAAAGCCAGATGTGTTGTAGGAAGGTGGGACTGGAGAGACCAGCCACAAAGAGGTAATCATAGGCTTGACAGACTCAGGCTCAGTGGAATGAGAGGACAGACGCCGACTGATATGGTTGGAGGACAAAATGGAAGTGAAGTGAAGAAGCTACAGTCCACTCCTTGCATCAGTTTTGCTGTGAAGGGGAGCAGAAAAGCAGAATGGTCATGCCCTAGACTCATTTCCAATCACTGCTTCATTCACAAGCATTCCACTCACCCTCTAACCACTCATCTCTCCAGCCCACTTCCTCAAGTACTGGCACTTTAACAAGTCTTCAGCCCCACCACAACCTGGAGGCTCACGCTCTCCCTTCCTTCCTTACCCTGCTTCCTACTTTCCATGGCCCACCACCCAGGCCACTTCTTTGCATTTCACCTTCTCCCTTTCCCCTCTTCTCTCTCCTTCCATCACTCAGGCAAACCTTAACTCTGACCAAGTCAACTCTTAGTTCATTTTATCCCTGCATTCAAGGAGCTAAACCTGGCTGAATCAAACACACAACCATGCTGATCAGCCTTGTTTTAAACTTACGAACATCAATCTCAAGTAGCTCTTGAGGAATATCGTACAATATACCACATTTCCCTGGTGAGTTGACATTCCTACTTTCAAAGACGATTACTTCACACCAATACTTTTCCCAAGCCTCCAGCACCCCCTCCTACTTCCTCACTCTAATTATTTTGCTTTTTAGTTCACTGAGAAAGTAAATTGAGACCATCTCGTCCTCCTGCCACAAGATCTAACCTGCCTACATCTATGCCCACACATTCTGCCTTGCTGCAAAGGTCAATGCTTCCATTTGTACACTGACTGCATCAATTTCCCCGTCCTATGGGATTATCATCACGCACACACTCACAAAGCTGCAGTATTTCCCATCCTGAAAAAACACCTTCCTCAGATTCCCTCCAGATACCAACTCGTTTCCCTGCCCCCACTTCTCAGGTCTCTGGGATTCTTTGCAGGGTTCCCTCCCTAACTTCATTCCATTTTCTGATCGTCACTGCTTTAGAGAGATGCCACCTGTGTAACAGTCTGTCCTCTCCCACCTAACGAAATCCTTTTTTCTCCTTCTCCGTTTCTCATTAGCACTTTTACTACTTCAAATTATATGCTTGTCTCCCCTCTAAAATCTAAGTAAGCTCCTTGAAAACAGGAGTCTTTATCTACTCAACCCATACCACCTACATACTGTGGCCACTCAAATCACTGGTTAAATTACAGAAAAAGGTATTTGAAAAGGGAGGTTCAAAGGCAGTTCTTCATTTTTAATAAAGGTAAAATACAATAGCATCTTTTTGTGTTGATGGAAAGAATCCTGTAGAAAAATTTGTTAATGTGGGAGTGAGGGATGACGTAGAAGACAGAAGATATAAATATAGGCACATTGCTGGAGTTTGAGAAATGGAAAAAAATAAGGTCTAGGATGAAACCTCCACTGGTTCTCTGTATGTAATACTATCCTTGGAATCCTTCCCCACAGAGCTGACTGCTGGGATTGTGTTCTGAGAAGACACTGTTACCCCTTGCATGAGACTGACCAAAGTCTGCGGCATACTGAATTTCATGATGCAGCAGGCTTCCTAATAAAAATATGTATTTATTTTGCATAGCTAAAACATTAAAGCCCCAGGGTGGTTTCAAAAATAATAGCCTGGCCAGGCGCGGTGGCTCAAGCCTGTAATCTCAGCACTTTGGGAGGCCGAGACGGGCGGATCACGAGGTCAGGAGATCGAGACCATCCTGGCTAACACGGTGAAACCCCGTCTCTACTAAAAAATACAAAAAAAAAAACTAGCCGGGCGAGGTGGTGGGCGCCTGTAGTCCCAGCTACTCGGGAGGCTGAGGCAGGAGAATGGCGCAAACCCGGGAGGCGGAGCTTGCAGTGAGCTGAGATCCGGCCACTGCACTCCAGCCTGGGCGACAGAGCGAGACTCCGTCTCAAAAAAAAAAAAAAAAAAAAAAATAGCCTACACTTTTTTTTTTTGGTATGTACTGTAAACTAAGAATGACATTTTCATTAGTGCCTCTTTTTCTTTCAGGAACTATGTGAAAAACAACATTTGCTTTATGAGTCATCACCAAGAAGAATTAGTGCCAAGACAGCCTCAAAAAAGAAAACCCCAGGAGCAGCTCTTGGAGTGTAACAAGCTGTGTGGTAGGGGCCAATCCAGGCAGCTTTCTCCACAGAACTAATGGTCTCAACACCTTCTGAACGTGGATAGTGCCAGAACGCTTAGGAGGGTGTCTTTGGACCAGTGCATAGTTGCAACTCCTGTGCTTTCTTTTCAGTGTCATGGAACTGGTTTTGAAGAGACACTGAAATGGTAAAGACAGCCTTTAATCCCCTCTTCCCCAAAAGGAACCTCAAAAGGTAGACAAGGTACAAGGTCCTAAGTGATCTTTCTTATTCTGAGCAGGATATCAGGTTAAAAAAAAAAATTACTGGCTGGTTTCATACTTTCTACCTTCACAGAGCAGCCTTTGAATAGACTATGTCCTAGTGAAGACATCAACCTCTGCCTTAAGCTATGTATGTACGGAGGCCAGTCACAGCTTTATTATTCAGACACACAAGTGGTCTGGACATAAGGGTACAGGTTTTGCCAACCAAGACACTGCTTGCAGTGGGTCTTACGCAAAAAAGAACCAGAACACACAGTGTGGACAGCTGCCCATGTATTCCATCTAGATTAGGAGAGGGTCCTGGCTAGGATTTTAGTGGTAATTCCTAGTTACATTCAACAAGTATAAAGATTATAGCGCTTATTTTATGAACTATAAACTACAATTTAATGCAAAATATCCTTTTATGAATTTCATGTTAATATTGTGAAATATTAAAATTATTCTGCAATAGTTGAGAAAAATGAGCATTTGTTTCCATTTTTAAAAAATGCATAGAAAAGACAATTTTAAAATCCTGGGACCATATTTATTTAGAAGTAGCTGTTAGTAAAACATTAGAAAAGGAGTCAGGCCATTAGGTTATTTATCCAAATCTCTAAGCAATTAGGTTGAAGTTATTAAGTCAAGCCTAGAAAAGCTGCCTCCGTGTAAGGCTTTCATGACAATGTCTAGTAATCCACAGTGTCCTGCAATTCTTCACACTCCTCAGGAATATCAATACCTCAGGTTACGGCACACAGGCTACACTCGATGATGACTTTCAGTGACCGAAGACACAATAAATGACATTCAGACATCAGGACAATTCCCTCGTATGTTCTTCTCTATGATGGCGGCCTGTACAAGCAACGTGGGTTTCACCCACACAACGATGAACTGTTCCCTACTTCTCCAGTTGATTTTAAAGACTTGGTAAGAGGTCTCACTAATAAAATTTGGGTATGATAGAAAATCCAAAATCAAATCTTGAACCAAGTAACATATTAAATTACTAATACTGTAAGTGATGGAAGACACAGAAAAAACGTAAAAGCACGAACAACCTAACTTGAAAAAGAATTTTAAAATATGATTAACCTAAAGAAAAGAGACTCCTAAGAGCCAGCTCCTTCTCATTTAGCTTGGAATTTTCCCATTGGTTCCCAATAAACTGTCCCAATGTCATATAAGGCAACATGATCTACTACATTCCTTTATAACAATGTGGAGAGACTATAAACCTATGTAAGTAGTAAAACTATAACATCAGAGACTCAGGAGACTGACTAAAAGGCCTGATCTGCAGTGTATTATCTGTATTAAAATTGCAGGCGAAGCGAAAAGGAAAGGAGATTTGAGATCTCAATTCTATCACAGTGTATTTCACATGCAAGTCAGAGCATGTATTGTTGTTTGTTTTTGGAAAGAGAAGGGAAGTGTGTTCTGCCCCACGTTTCCTTCCGTGTTTATAGTTCAAACACTATATATACTTTAGTTATTTTTTGGTTTAGCCATTCATTATAAATGGGCAGGAAACTGTTTATCAACCTAGCCGGTTTATTACTAGTGACCTCGACTTCAGTATCTTGAGTATTCTTTTGCATTTTTATTTTAATATCCCGAGTCTGTAACTAAACAATTTTGTCTCTAAATTTGTATCCAATGTTCATTGCCCCACACCAAATCAAGCTTTTTGATTTTCAAAAATAAAAAGGGGGAAATACTTACAACTTATACATATATATTCACAGTTTTTATTTATAAAAAAAATTTACAGTACTTATGGAGAGCCAGCAGAAGACATCAGAGCACTCACTTCTTCCCATCTTTGTTAATGTTAGTGAATTACCCATGGACACTGCTAGGTGAGGCTCACCCAGCAGCCCTGAAAGCAGACCCAGTCACACTGTCTTTACCCTCTCCCTTCAGATAAAGCACTTCCATTAGCTATTGATCTGCCCAGTTTTCAAGTCATGCGAATACTGAAAAGGTTGTATCATCTGGATCTGTACCTTGGCTATATAAGCATGTTTTCCCCCTATTCTACATTTCTTTTTTTGGTGAACATTGCGAAACAGGAGGTGACTTATTACGGTTAATTAAAACTAAATGAAAATGTCAAATCTTTAAAACAGTGAGCTTGTAACTCTTTCATGTAATTTTATTCTCTATATTTATGAGTTTGGCTATCCTACTGAATCTTAAAATAAAGGAAATAAACATTTTTTTTTTTAAAGGAAAAATAAAAGTCTAACAATTCCAATGAAATCTTTCGTAAGAAAGAAAAATGTAAGTTCGCCTTTGCCTTCCACTTTGGAGTAAGAAGCAGGTTAGAGAAGGCATCGAGAAGAAAAAAGATAAAAATAAAAATAATAAGTGTTGTTCAGTGCAGTGCCTAAGCTAGGTTTTCAAGATTTATTTTATAATATGGTAAGGAAAATGTACTATATATGGAGGTTAGGATGTTGCAACTTTTCCACAAAGCTTTGAAAACATTTTGGAAATACAGGTTTTTGTGGAACATTGTGTTGGAATATTGTCTCCATTAAGTTTCTCCTGAGAAGCTAATTGGACTCTCCACTCAGCTTTACTTCTAGGTATAATCACTGTTGGTTACACTAAACTCCTACACCTAAGTGATAGGGCACAACTACGCTTGATCCTGTATTACCACATCAGGGCTCCTGGGTGAGCCAGAGACACTGTTTCATAAATGCGTATTTATTATAACTTTAAGAGTAGCAATCTCATATACTGAATAGTCACTCTTTAACTCCATTAAATAAGATACAGCAAGGGGAAGGACAATATCACACAAAATGGCTTTCAAATTCAAGTGGGGCTATTTGATAATTACACTGTGGCACAGAGGCAGTTTGTGGGCACTTCTTGTTAAAACATCTCCATGTTACCAACTTCTGACAAGACTCTTAGTATAGGCTTGGGCACCAACCCAAGATTAAAGTCAAGAACTTCAATCACTTCTCTACAACTACAGGTGTTGAGTCTTTCCAGAAAAACAAAGATCCAAATGAGGCACCATTCATCACAGCTTCTTTCTCATGGCCATCTAGTGGGTAAGAGGTTTCTCTTCTTAAAACTACAATTTCTTAACCTTTACAAGTGATTTAACATTTTCTATCATATTAAATTAGCAACATAAAACATTATCCTTTATCTATAAACTTCTAGTCTGGTTCTCTAGAGTTTATATACACGTTTTTATTTCTAATCTGCAAGAAAAAAAAATTCCTATTTGTTATTTGGTAACAGAGCATTAAAAGATACTATACACATGTGGCGCATATATATGTATATATATACACACACACACACAAAATACACTTCAAAAAGAAGCCAACACACTTTAGCCAAAGTCTTAAGCTTGCATAGATTTTAAAAAAAAGTATGAATACAATTTTTGTTAAAATAGAAAATGGGGAATAAAAGTTACAGAATGGATATGAAGAGAGATCTTTTCCAAACTTTTATTTGTGCACATTCAATTGAAAAAGATAACTTTTACAGGTTCTTTGGTGCCCATATTCAGCATACAAAAATGTAAAAGACTATTCACAAATAAAACACATTAGCTCAAAATGGAAAAAAATAACAATGACAACAATAAAACAATCTAAGGTAGTGCACACTGTGACAGCTCTGCTTATGGGGACATGAGAATTACTGCGAAAATAAATAGAATGTCCTTTTGTAAAAGCAGCAATGTCATGTCTTGTAAACTTCCTTTTATATTACAGCAAGGTTTGGAATAAAATCCAAAGGGACTGGAGCTTACACTGTAGCCGTGAATGAATAAAAGAGTCTATCCCCTCGATTACTGTTGGTCCAGTTTTCCTTTTGAGTCCAATGTGCAGCAGGTTTAAAAGGTGCTCAGTTAGAGATTCTAACCAATTAAGTGGTGAATTATAAAATTTCTTTCCTGCTTTCAAACACAAATGGGTAAATCTGTTCCACAGCAGTAGCAACAGCCTTTACATTGGGCCCTGTAATAAACACAACGGAGGAAGGAGTGAGAAGAGTTGGAAAAGGGAGCACTAGGAAAAACTGATTTTCCAGAATTAAAAATATTCAAGTGGTATAGAATATCACGTTAACTGTTCAAAAAAAACTACACATATAATTATACACATAACCATAATAAGTAAAAATAATACAGATTTTGTTCTGGGCAATTAAAAGACACATGAAACACAAAATGAGGTTATTCACTTTGTTTTAGGGCACCAGACCGAAAAACAAAAGTATATAAAAAATTGCATACAAACTATCATGGACTAATACAGAAAGTACTGTAATATAATATGTACATGAAAGGAAGGAGTAACAAATGGGACTAGATAACAGCTATCCTTTTGATCACTATCATCTGGCTTCTGGTTAGGCTACAACAGAGGCTCAGGAATATGCAGGAACACAGCAGAGTGAAACAAAGCTGCCACCAAAATGTTGGGAAACCAGAATGCTGTTTTAAAATATATGGTTTAAAAATCCCCACAGATTTACCACCACTGGGTAGCCACATGTTTATTACCAATCTGGTCATTTCACCCTCAGAGCTTATACAAGTCAATAGAAAACAAAAAAAGCACAAGGCTACGAGGTGACCATGCATTATGTTAATTCTTGAACAACTTTATAAAAATGTAATCTTTCATTTAAATTGCTAAAAAGAAACATAAAAAAGGACAATGAAAACTATTTTCATAAAATTTATTTTGAATAAAAATGGCTTCACTAATACACACTTACCTCTTTTGAAAGACCCAGGAAACTAACAAATCCACCCACTGTAAACACTCTGATGGTCCTAACCACATCCTATCTTGGTGAGGTCCTTCCTGACTCACTTTACCCCCACCCTGCTATGCTTTGCTCATGGGAACCAATTCAATATTACTAACATTTCATAGGATATTCCTGATCTAAGTAAACAATGCATACTACTTAACCACGTCAATTGTCTTCAGTTTATTATTGTTTTGTTTAATATCTAGTAACTCAGTAAATACAGAGTTTTACATGTGCATTGTTTTATTATATACTTAGTAGAGATAGATCAATAGGCTTTGGGCCTGCTCAGACATCCAGCCTCCAAAGTGTGGAAACAGAGAACAGAAAGAAGGGAACAAACAGACCTGTCCCCTACCATCCCATATTTAAGATTCAGGTGGGATCCTGGGAATACGCTTTGAAAGTCGCCAAGGAAGATGGGAAAACCCATGGGATGAGTCAAAACTAAAATTTATTTGTTGAGAGACTAAATTGTTATTTTCCTCTATGGACTGAATAAAGAAAAAACAAAGCTTAAGGACATTGAAGATATTTTCTTTAATTCTTTTTTGCCTAAGGTTGGGCCTGACTCCCAAGCAATGCCTCTGCACAATTTATAATCATAGTACCATTAAAATGTCACACCGCATGCTAATGCTACCCTTTGACATGAATGCCTAGTTTTCTGAAACCACCCTTTCTCCAAATAAAGATGCAAAAGATATAGCAAGATAAACATAACAAACAGGCACCAATTATATTTAATATTTTGCTTATGTAAAACTGAAGTTTATAAAATGAGTTTCTCATGAGAATTTTAAATATAAGGTATCATAAATTTACATACTATGGATACATATACCAGAATATATATACATACACATATATATGTGTGTGTGTGTGTGTATATATATATAAATTTTTCTTGTTTTTTTTTTTGGAGACAGAGTCTCACTCTGTTGCCAGTCTGGAGTGCAGTGGTGTGATCTCAGCTCACTGCAACCTCTGCCTGCCGGGTTCAAACGATTCTCCTGCCTTGTAGCTGGGACTACAGGTGTGCACTACCACGCCCAGCTAATTTTTTGTATTTTTAGTAGAGACAGGGTTTCACCACGTTGGCCAGGATGGTCTTGATCTCATGACCTTGTGATTAGCCCGCCTCAGCCTCCCAAAGTGCTGGGATTACAGACGTGAGCCAATGCACCCGGCCCACCAGAATATTTTTAAAGCTCCATACTGGAAACTACTCAAATGCCCAATGAGAATGAATGATATATACAACTACACAGAACATAATATAGATGAAACCCACTAAGATAATGCTGAGTGAAAAAAGCCACAAAATAGTATGTGTAACATTTATAAATAGTACAAAAGTAGGTAAAATAAATCTACAGTGTTAGAAGTCAGGAGACCGGTTCCTCTTAAAGGGCAGAAGTAACTGAAAGGAACAAATCAGACATTATTTCTATCTTGGTATAAGCATCTTGTATCATTCAATCCATAATTTACAAGTTTGGTTTCAATATCATAGAATACCTGTTACTGTGATACTTCCTGTCGAAAAAATCTGTAACGTAGCTCTTAGAGATTTTATCCGATAGCACACAGCAGGATGAAGTTCAGGTTCATAACTATACAAAAGAAGCCACAGTTAATATAAATATTTACACGCTGACTAGTAATTTCAAATTTGGTAATGTATCAAGATAAATTGCTTCAAAGACTTACCTGGCATGAGGTCTATTGTTCTTTGTGAATTCTGGCAAACGGATTTCAAATGGCATGTTACACACTGCCAGAACATTAACAACCTTAAAATCTGTAAATATTACCTTTAGGAGAGAAGTAAAACTCAATAAATTTATTTTGAAACAAACAAACAAAAAAATCTGCTCATCATGGCAATCCTTAATAACCATCAATCCTTAAAACCAAGAGCAAACAAGATAAAACAAAAACATTTTAAGTGTATGTTTAGTACTGTAAGTTATGTAGCATTGAAAGTTTTAATTCAATTTTTTAAAAAGCCCAAAAACTTCATTAAAAAAATAAAACCAGAGGTATTTGCATGATTAAAACAGTATGGGTCTTTCTAATCACATGTTTAATTTCTTAATACTTTTAAGTGAAATATTTAAAACTACTGAGAAAGGACAGAGAATAGTGAGGGAAAAAATTTAAGTCCAGGTCATCCTGCTAGAGTAAAAATGGAAAACATGTCACCCTAGAAAGTCAGTAAATACAGAGTGTACACTGGGCTCCAAAAGTCAGATGTTTTTCTTATATGGAATAAGGCAAAATGACATTTCTGTGATAATATTAGTTAGATGTTTATTTTCTTTCTGGGGATAGAGTGATAAAATTGTTTTTAACTAACTGGGATTTCTCTCAACACTTCTAATGTTACACTAAAAGAAGTTCCAAGGCCGAAAATAATGCTCTTAACCTTAATAACTTTGGTCACTCCTACCAACATCTTCAACTGTTTCATCTCATCTTTTCAAACATTCCTCCTAAAACCACAATTTTGGGTAAGCTAACTATCCTTCAACTCAGCCTTGCACACAGCAGTTGCGCAAAGCCAGGAAACTGCAAAGTGGCAGCACTCTCAAATCACAGTACAACTCAAGACTCTCTCTACTGCCACCCTCCCTCAAGCACCAACCCCCACTCCCCACCAGCCATTCAGTCTCTTCCTATCACCCTCTACTTCAGAGAGACTGAGTCATCAGAGGGAAACGTAACTTCCTCTCCCCACTTCTACAAACTTGTCTCAATCCCAAACAGCCTTGCCCTCATCTTCAGGGACCATTCCCATCTTTATCTTTCATTTATTAATCATTTGCAAGTGACCTAGCAAGTCCATAATATGTAATCATTTTATTCAAAGGTATATACCTCTATCAAGTTATAGTGATGAGGCTGACATGCCGGTGACAGTCACGTTACATGTGTGAGAGCCTGCCAGCTGGTGTGTCCATGTCAAGGGGCCTCTGCCATTCTCTATTCACCACTCTGACCTGGCATTCTTGAGATAACCAAAAACGATTTTGTTTGTGTACATCAGAGGTGAAAAAAACTTAGAGTTGAAAAGGAAATTAACTTGTGAGGAAACAAGTCTCTTTATGGGAAAGGAATTAGGGAAAAATCTAGGATCCTTTACAAATACCCACATGGCCAAATTTTGCTACAAATTTTCACACTGAAGGGCAGTATTAAAAAGCCTAGAAAAAGTTCAATCATAAGAATAGTATGTATAGTGATTTCTTGAGTCTATTACAATTTTTAATTCTACAAAAATAAATCCTTAAATATTTATAGTTTAGATACTGTTTGAAAATGTTACCTGAAAACCTAGTTTCTGCAGACTGCGGGCTAAGCGTCTGGCACCAAATTTAGCTTCTTCTTCACTATGGTATTAAGGAAAGAAAAAGATTATCAGTTATACAGGAAATAAATTTTATACTGAGGAACACAACAAACTTCACATATGATTTTGCTGTTAAGTCTAGGAAAATGTCCGTTCCATGAGGGAAAAAGCAAAAAATAAAAACAAAAAATCCAAGTAGCATTTACCTTGTTGCTCCAGTGCAAATAATTTTTCCTGAGGACCAAATTGTAGCTGTAATTCTAGGTTTTCTAAGCTTCATTAATACTTTCTGGGGGAAAAAAAAATCTGATTACCTCATAAGCATTATTTTTCACTTATGGTTCTGTTCTATATAGTCATATTAATGTCCAAATACTACTCTCCAAGCTTATCTAAGACTGCAATGACTGCTCTCCAAATCACCCATTTTGAAATCAAGTACAATACTGAACACAAAGAATATATTAATCCAAAAAGACATTTGATTAATTAAAAATACAAGGTGTATAGAAATCTCTCACTCTATATACTTGAAATCAATGTACTCCAAGTACATAAACAATTCAACTCTCATTCCACTCCAGTCACATAACTGGAACTTGCATGGCTCCTCACACACACGAAATCTGTTCATGCCTCAGAAGCTTTGCAGTAGCTGTTGCTTTCATTTGGAATAGTATCCCCTCAATATTCTCACTTCATTCAGGTCTCTTACCAGATGTCACCTCCTGAAGAGAGGCCCTCCCTAACCATTTTCCCTGAAACACCCATCACTTCATCGCTTTCTAATTCCTAACTCTGCTTTCTGCTGTTTCATGGTACCCATCATCCTAGAGTTGAGATGCTTATTACATACTCTAGTTCAACATGGGCATCTTGAATAAAGGAGAAATGTTGGAGCTGGAGATGTAATTGGAAATTCATTAGCTTTGGAAGGCATTTAAAGCTATGGGTTAGAATGAAATAACTACAGAGTGTGTATCAATAGGTCAAGGACTAAGCTCCAAGAAAATATGCAAATTTTAATTTTCATTCCAACTATTCATTAATGGAAATATTTGTTAGATGCCCATTCTACGTAAGAAAGACATAAATGCTCACTGACTAACATATAAATGAATCAGATGTTTCTGCTTAAAATTTTTGTTACATTTTGTGTTCTTCATTCTCTGTCATATGCCATATTATCAAACTAGAAAGCTATTAAATCTGGGCAGACTTAAAATTTACCAAAGATCAAGATAAAATTTGAACTAAAATACATCATAAAATTTCATATACAAGTGACTGAGAAACACTTGACTGAGTTTATTCCACATTTAATTGTCTCTCACCGCCACCAGCTTGTCTATCATCTCAGATTTTTCAATTAACCTTCCTTAAAAAAACTATTTCCTTTCCATATGTCATGGTGAAGTACCAAAGCAGTGTTAGGCATATTCCTCTCTAAACTTTTGAACAGACATATTGATTACTTTTCTAAAGGAAAGATGGGATTGCTGACAAACTTGAAAATCTTTGTGGGTCACTGAAAATTTTAATTGAATTTAATTCATCTTTACTTAGTTTCTAGTACTAAGAAGTAATGATGGCCAGGCATGGTGGCTCACGCCTATAATCCCAGCACTTTGGGAGGCTGAGGTGGGTGGATCACGAGGTCAAGAGATTGAGACCATCCTGGCCAACATGGTGAAACCCCATCTCTACTGAAAATACAAAAATTAGCCGGGCATGGTGGTGTGCACCTGTAGTCCCAGCTACTCGGGAGGCTGAGGCAGGAGAATTGCTTGAACCCAGGAGGCAGACGTTGCAGTGAGCCGTGATCGTGCCACTACACTGCACTCCAGCCTGGCGAAAGAGTGAGACTCCGTCTCACACACACCCAAAAAAGAATTAATGACAATTTACATAGGTATCCTGGCACCTAATTTTTAAAGCTAAACAGAGCCTTGAGATGCATTCTTAATTTTCATAATAAATGTGTAAAATACATATCCATCTCATCAATCTTTGGTTTATAATGATGTCCAATGTCTTTCATAATGCTAATCTCAAAACACTAAGGTTTTATTATTACTTATTAATATTCAGGCTTTAAAATATTACAGGTTTATCAAAAACTAAAATTCAAGATGTCCACGTCAAGATATAAATCATATTATTTTCAGCAGTTTGTTATGAAAGAAAACCATCTACCTTTGTTAAAGAAGAATATGATAATTAAAATACTATAAAAATTATATATAAAGGCATCATTCAAATACAATTACATTTTAATAGGTACATGTGAGAATATAAAGGTCCCTTTCTTCAGTTAAAATAAATTGAGAACACAATAAAATGTCTCTGTAACCAATGACTTCTTTGCTGATTCAGGTACCGATACTCTATGTACAAAAGCTTGAACCTCCATGAGAGGAGGGACTGCTTTTACAGGGCTCACTTCTATATCCAGGACAACCAGCACATGGTAAGGTGATCATAAATTATCTGTAGAATGAATACATTTTAGTATCACTCATAGAACTATAAAATTAGGCTATGTAGTACAAATACGAAAACTGAAATACTTACTCCAACATCACGTTTATAAATTACATTTGCTCCTTCCAAAGCAATCTTCCTTAAGTTTAAATGGCATCTTGTTCTAAAAACACAGACTACATTTGTAATTAGAATGTCCAATGCAACATCACTGTCTGCATCCATTGGGGTGGTTTTAAAATTTAGCTTTCCACCACGAAGATCACATCCTGAGAAATAAAACAAAATAAAGTCATTAAACTTAAATGTTCTGTTAATTCACTTTTCACAAACAATCTTGAAATTGAAATGTAAAAAATGAATCTATATTATTTATTTTTCAAATGTTACTAGAATCAAATCATGTCCCTGGCTGGGCACAGTAGCCCCCGTCTGTGATCCCAGCACTTTGGGAGGCCAAGGTGGTTAGATCATCTGAGGTCAGGAGTTCGAGACTAGACTGGCCAACATAGTGAAACCCAGTCTCTACTAAAAACACAAAAATTAGCTGGGCATGGTGGTGCATGTCTGTAATACCAGCAACTAGAGAGGCTGAGGTGGGAGAATCACTTGAAACCGGGAGGCGGAGGTTGCAGTGAGCCGAGATCGCATCACTGCATTCCGGCCTGGGCGACAGAATGAGACTTGGTCAAAACAAACAAACATTAACAAACAAACCAACCAACCAAACCATGTCCTGTCTTCTCCCCCCTAAAAATGTCATTTTTTAAAAAGCTAACATGACATCTAATATACTTCAAAATCTAGGCCTAACTTTCATTCCTTAAATTAAAAAGTAACTTTTACTTGCCAGGAGCTTGCCAGACTCATCTCCTGCTATTCCCCTCTACAAACACTACGTTCCAGGTGTACCACAGTAATGACAACTCCCCAAATGCACCACATTCAAGGGTTGGATTCTGGTCCCAATGTCTAACCCTTAGTGGCATATAACCCATCTCATGCAACTTGCTGGCACTATAAAAAAATATGGCATACTTCTATTTCAAGCAGAGTAACTGATTTAAGTTTAAAGCAGCAAAAATATGAATAACATTTACTAACAGAATTTTCTCATTACTAACCATTCATTCATTATTTTCTTTCTGAACACCTCTAGACTGAAGATAACGGAGGCAAAAAAATGATTAAGGCAAAGTCTTTTGTCCTCAAGGAGTTTGCAAACTTGGGTGTACAGGAGGAGCTCTATCAAATAATTTGCATAATACCATTTTTATCAAGATCAGAATCTCCCAACATATATTTGCCCAGACTCTTATGATTTACACAAACAAGCCCCAGTTTTTACTAAGTATGTGACCCATGACCCAGATAAAAAAATTCTCTGTATTTTCACACGTCAAAAAATAAACAATGGCAATTTGGCTTAACTCACAAAAAGATCAGAAAATGGTAAAAACATACTATAGTTGTCTTTAAAGTTCCTTGCAGCCACAATGTAAAAAACTAGTATTCTTTATAATAAGGATTCGTAATATATAACTAAAACAGTGAAGGGGCCAAGAGTCTAAATAAAGAAGGTCTTATTTCTCTGCCTTTCAGTTTCTGAGAGAACACAGTGGCAAACCAGACCAAGACTTCTGACACCTCTATGGGACCATATGGCATTCAATTCTGTGTATTAATTGTACCTCAACTTCATTATATTTTTTCACTCTTATATTCCCATATTCCCTTCAATCTGTGTATCTTTTTGTTTTTCTGTTCTTTGTACATGTTTGAGCTACCTCAAATAATTTTTATGTATGAGGAGTGAGGCAGGGGTGACAACAGGAACTGATGGATAGATATATAGGCAGACAGATTAAAAAGCAGAGGCACAGGGCCAGTTTATTACCATTGGTCTTAAGCATGCGCAATGTCTGACTTACCACTTACTAGCTATTAGAACTTGGGCAAGTTATGTAACCTGTGTCTCAGTGTTCTCATATGTAACATGGAATAGATCATGCCTACCACAGAGCAGTGCTGTGAAAATTATATAATGTATGAAAAGTACTTAGTATATATATCTAGGATATTGTAACAGTAAATGATAGTAAGTATTGATGAAATAAGTTCAAATCAACAGGCAGATCAGAGGATTTCTTCTGATCATGGGAAGTAATCACTACTTCCCATGATTACATTAGAGCCCAGTTACTAAGCCATCTGGACAGCAGCACGTTTTCTGCTAGGCTCCTGGCTGCTTACCCCAACATCCATTCCACCCTGCCTTCATAATGACCACAGCTCAGATGTTTAGCTGGGTACAATGTGGCAGAAATAAAATACTATAGACGTCAAGCTCCCTGGCAACAACTGGTATAGCCAACTGGCCACCTGAATATGTTCTGGTCAATAAGACATAAAATAAAATTGCTATGTACCTTCTGGGAAGTCTACTTAGAGCAACCAACTAAGCCAGCGAGGGCTCCTTTGCCTTTCTGCCCTTTTTCATTCTTGCTGTCTAGAGGTTGGATGTGAGAGCTAGAGTTCAAGTAGCCAATTTTGCACCACGAGGCAATGAGGATGACGATGGTAGAACAACAAGATAGAAGCAGCCTGGGCCCCTGATGCTGTGAATCTCCTTATTCTCCCTGTTCTTCTTAATTCTAGACCTCATGAGGATGAGAGAAAAATCAGTTTCCCTCATGCTGGCTTTCTGTGATACACAGCCAAACCTAATCTTGTTGCACATCCCTTAAGGATAAGCTACCACAAAGCAACTACTTAAGAAGAAACCTCATGCGAATCAACTATCAAATTTACTATTTTACTTGTTTTTATATAAACAGGAGAAAACAAATGGACTGAGATTTACTACTTTGAGTTCTACTCTACTCTGAATTTACTATTTTGAGTTCCACCTGAGGGGACAACACTAAGGACGATATAAGTAAAACTAAGTCAAGAAAAAAAGGGTAAAGCAAATCTGTGTGAATGCAAAAAAGGAGCCTTGAAATTAATTCAAAATTGATGATTTTTCAGCATTTCAGCAACTTGAATTTTAAAAATAAGGTCATGGGAATAGTTCATCATAAGTTACTAAGTATTCATATTTTATAATATGAGTAACCTGACAAGCAGGCTCAGAAAAGATTGCTTTAATAAGAAGTTTTCAATTAAAGATGCAATATAAAAAGTCAACACTTTTTTAAAAGAGGCAACCCACGAGAGACCACATTTTTCGAAGCATGAAAAAAGGCCCACTTGCAATCAGTTCATCTGTCTTACAGAACAAGAGAACAGAACTGGATATTAACAAAGATTTAGTTTTTAAAGCTAAACATATTATATCCCTTTTCAATGGGATAATTAGAATGACAGCCCAATGAAACAGACAAATCTCAATTTCTTTTTTTTTTTTTTTTGAGACCAAGTCTCGCTCTGTCGCCCAGGCTGGAGTGCTGTGACACAATTTTGGCTCACTGCAACCTCCGCCTCCTGGGTTCAAGCAATTCTCTGCCTCAGCCTCAGGCGCCCTCCACCATGCCCAGCTAATTTTTGTACTTTTAGTAGAGACAGGGTTTCACCATCTTGGCCAGGTTGCTCTTGAACTCTTGACCTCGTGAGCTACCCGCCTCGGTCTCCCAAAGCGCTGGGATTACAGGAGTGAGTCACCGCACCAGGCTGACAAATCTCAATTTCTACAAAGCATCTGGCTGCCTAACAGGTCCCTTGTATTTTTTTAAGTGTAGTGACATAATTTATCGATGAGTTAAACAGGTCTATCTGACTAAATATTAGTAGTTCAGAGGCTTAGGTTATTCTTGAACACACACACACCACTTTGTTTAAATTAAAACAAGAAAAACAAAACAGCTAAAGGAAAGATGGAAACTAATTCCCAGAAGGGAATATTCCAAATTGTTTATGACTATGATGGTACCTACACTTAAACATCAGAATCATCTATTTCCCCTATTAAATTCTAAGCTTCTTGAGGTGAAAGACTGTTTTATCGGTCTATATATTCCCATGGCTCAACATCGTATCTAACACATTGTAAATGTTCAATTATTTGACATATGAATGCTATGAAATCCAACATTTCAAACTCCTAACTATATTAAATTTCTCATCTACCTACAATTCCAAATTATTTCTTTTAATTCTAAGCATGAAAAAAAAAAAAAAAACCTGTTAGCAAGGCTGAAACTATTTTCAAAGCCACCTATTTTCACTGAATGCAAAAGAGTTAATGATCTTTTTTTCCTACAAGCCCTTTGACACAACATTCATGAAAATGCATATACAGTATACTTCATTATATTTCATGGTGGTTTACAAATGATTTTTTTTAACTGGTTGTATAGATTCCAAGGGGAATGTGTTTAAGCAACTCCACCAAAAATACAGCATTTGAAAGCGACATTTAAACTCACAAGGCTATTAAGCCTGATAACCATGGCACTACCATATATTTCAGATACACAAAAAGGCAAAAAGAACACAATGAACATCTATGTACCCATCATTCCACTTAAAAAGTAAACATTACAATACAACTGATGCCTCCCCATGCAGTTCTTCCAAATCACATCCTCCTCACCTTTCCTCCAGAGAAAGCCTCTACTTTCAATTGCAGTCTTATCATTCTCATGTTTCTCTTAAACTTATTATACATACACAGTGTTATATCCCTAAATCCAACTAATTCTTGATTTTTAAAAGATTATTGATGAATCTGGTTTGCTAATACTTCCTTTAGTTATTGGGTAGAATTAGCTTATACTCTTCCTTTCTCGTATTGTCCTTATCTGGTTTGAGCATCAAGGTTACTATACTAGACTCATTACACAATTTAAGGTGGTTTCTTTTTTCTTTCTTTTTTAATTCTCTGGAAGACAGGTTAGCAGATGTTACCTGAAAATTAACTGGAATTGTTTGTTGTTTGAAAAATTATTAAAGACAATTTCTAATTTTTAAATTAGATTGAATTTAAATTTTTAACAGTGTTAAAATAATTAATGTCTGCTTTCTTCAAGTCTATTTTGCTAAATTAAATTTTCCATTTCTTCTATACTTTAAAAATTTACTGGGCATACGATTCTTCATGGTTGTCTTAATAATCTTTTAAAGTCTCTGCTGTAGCCACTTACCCTTTTTTCATTGCAGCATCATTAACTCCTGTTTTTTATTGCTCTTGTCAATCTTACTTTTCCACTTTGGTTTCTTCCCAGAACAAACTATCAGTAGCTGATCCTCTCTATTGAATTTTTTGCCC